AACTGAATACCTCCCATCATGGTCCTACACTGGGACAAGCTTTAGATTGATGACCAAGCTCTCTATAGGTACAACAAAGTTATGTCATCCTAGCCTGGGAGTACCAGATGTTTGCAATGCCTAGAAAAGAAACTCTAGCTTGGGGAACTCTCTAAACCGTTAGTCAAGCCCTCCACAATCATAACAATATCTATAGCATGAAGCCTGGCATGAAGAACACGATAATCTGCCCTGCTTGCCTTTGACAAATTGAGAACCACCCCTAGCCAACTGCACCGGGGCCTTGTGACAATCTCGAACATAGTGGCCTACCTTGCCACACTCATAACACTCATCACCAAGAGCAACTTGTTGTGCAGACCAAGATGGGGCAACATGAGACTCAATACCCAAAGGTCCAGAATGACCATTATGAAAAGTCAGGCTTGAACTCTGCCTACCGTAGGCACCACAACCTACCTCTAAACCCCCTGGGATTTTAGATGCTACCTCTACAGGCTTGATATGTCAAGAAGAAAGATGTCCTTTGTTGAACTGATACTCACCTCCAAGTGGAATGTTTTCACCACTGTTCTGATGCCGAGGTCCCTTACCACTATCTTTGTAAGTCTCAAGGCACGTATGCTCCACAACCCTCACATTACTCATAACCTGGAAAGGTAGACTCTGCTTATATCAGATGCTCTGATGCCAACCAAAGTGGCAAAGCCAACTCAACTCCTGATCTTAAGGGAACAATGTGGGCCTATACCCAACCCACTCTAGAAAACCTAGCTCATAGTCATAAACGAACGATGAACTCTACTGGGACCGATCAGCCCAACTCTTCTTTGAGGAGCACCATCTGCACCTAAAACTGAACATGCGTAAGTGTACCCTCGAAGTAGCTCGGACCTCCTAATATTGAATCTCGAGGAACTGAGGTAGCCAATGACCCTGTCAAAGCTTGGGCTGCCCCTAAAATCTCTGAATGCTGAAGAATGCCTCCGACCTGAACGTCCATGCCCAACTGAGGCCCTCTAGCCCGACCACATGCTGAAATTCTAGTGGAATGTGTTGATGCTCCATCCACGTCGGTCAAATTGTTTGTATTATACATCTAGGAGAGAGTAGATTCAAAAGAAGCAGTTTTAGAGGTTAATCAAAGAAAAAGCACATAATAAGAGTAAAAAATAGAATTTCCTAAGAATGCCCTATAGCCTCTAGAAGATAGGATACGAACGTCTCCACGCCAATTTGTAGTACTTTACTAGGCATTTACCCTCGTAACAATGATGTCGGTCAACCTATAGCTTTGATACCAAACTGTCATGACCCAATTTTCTTAGTCAAGATTGCACCTACTACATTCCACTAGTAGGTAAGCCTAACCTTAGCTCGGATTCATAAGTAACAGACTACCAACCATAATTCAACCACAAGAAGCATAAAGCTTATAGCAAAGTAAAGAAACGATAATCAGTAGAAAAATAATACATGAACCATCCCAAAACATGTCATCAGTCAGTAGTTGAGCATCTAATCCAAAAAAAGAGTACAAGTCTTTTACAAATACAGGTTAGGTACAAGTTGTCTCTGAATACAATATAAAGACTAAGCCTAGCCAAAACAAATGAGCACTGGTAGCTTCGAATGCCAGGAGCTCACCCAAGTCTCCAAAACTCCAAGCTGCTCTGAATGACTCCAAATCAACGGCGATAACTCAAAATATGATCTGGAGGGGGCACAAGTGTAGTATGAGTACCAAAAATGGTACTTGGTAGGCATCTATCAACTAAGCTCAAAGATAACCAAAGCATAAAGAACAAGTACTAAGGTAAGCATAGCACAAGCAACTAAACATGATATTCTAAAATAGACAAGTAATAATGAAAGACACAGGATACAAGAAGAAGAGTCAAGAAAGTACCTGGAACACAAGGCAACAACCTATTTATAAGCTACTAAGATACTAAGTCAACTACCCAGGGTCACGAGGACCCACTACCACAAATCTAAAGTCAAATCCTATCAAGTAACAAGGAAACAATAACAGAGAATGGAAAATAGACAAAGAATGACCTAGTCGGACCCCCTTAAGCCGGGAAGGTATAAACAACAACCATAACTTAACCGACCCTCATAATTCAGAGGTGCAGTCATCAAACAAGTATACTAGTGATAGTAAATGCATATTAATGCAGGGTGAGCAACAAAAACCTTATATCACAAGCACCTAATAAAGGGGCCACCCTTCCAGACACTAGACTCCCACGGGCATTAGACTAGCTAGAAAGATTAAACTCGGGGCTGCCCTGCCAGACTGTAAACTCCTAAAGGCACCTGCCCAGCTAGAAAGAGTAACAACAGGAATTAATAAGACAAATCCATGCAAGAAAGGGTGTCGATGCGCCAACTAGTGAAGTAAAATTGAACACATCCCAAATTCCTCTAATATCTCAAGTAGGAAAGAAGAATAAAATCCAAGTAAAATAATATCTCATCATGAACATAACTATGCTAATGCATGAGTCGGGATCGTAACACAAAATCCATGAGAATAAACAAACAATGCAATGCATGCCATCACCAACATTCAAACAAGGCACTCAAAGTCCAACAAATATATAGCCAACAAACCTACTCTACCAAATCGGATAGCACTAACATAGAATCCAACTAGTCCTCGCACACAACTTCAAGAACTATAATATAATCATAAGTTAAATAAGGGTACAATAGGCCTACAACTAAATAAAAAGCAAAGGGATAAGAAAAGCTTCGAAATAAATAAAGGGAGAGCAAACTCAAGGGATGGTCCCTACACCAATCATACCTCTCCAGTCCCAGACTGAGCACAACTAATGCAAACCTACGGCTATGACGAGCCACCAAGGTCTCAACCACCAGCACAATAAGACCAACCAAAACATGCCCTGTTGGGACAAAATCATAACTATAAGGGAGATAAAACATAACCTAAATCATCTAAGATCCAACCTAATCTAAGGCCACAACGTATCAATCCTAACAAGGATAAGCAAGATCATCTACACTACAAGTGAAGCTGCAAGCCTAAACTGAAGATCCCAACCCCCACCAATAAGCCCATGGCTCCTATAGAGTCAAGAAAATATGGAATGAACTAGAGGAAATCTATTTACCCAACAAATACAATTCGAAATTACATTAAACCTATGTTAAGCATTATCTAATAAGCTCTCATGAAAGTAGACGAAAGTCTACCTCAAAGCCGATCACGAGCGCTCTGAATCTACCACACAAGGGATATCCTCTCTCGAAACGCCTCCAAACACCAACACACTATCAAATTATCGATCACCACATCATTATAAACGTTTAGACACTAAATTCACAACAATTGCAAATAGACCCAAAAATTGTGTCAAAATGGGAATGTGGGACAACATCAAGAATCCTTGAATTGACTCCATCAAAAGGTTCTAATCGACTAACCATGATTATTTCCTGAAATAGGACTCAATTTTGTGCCAAGAACAGCTCAAACACAATAAGCAATTAAAACACCAATTAAAGAAGACAATCAGCCCACTCGCGGATGAGAATTCCCTCAAACCGTTTCTTTCCACACTTCCACGAACACTTTAACATGTATCCACGATCATCACAGACATTCACCACTTTGAATCACTCAATTTAGAGCTCCTAAAATTTTGAAAAGAAGCTTTGGAGTAGAACTGATTGCATGATTGGTCTTTTTTAAAAGATCAGTCTCAAAAACTCTCCGCGATCGCGGAGCCCAAGACTCGCGTTCACGGCCCACATGAAAAAAGGAAACCACAAGCATGGTAACTGGGCAGGGACCTATTCCTAAGCCATTTTCAGTAGACAGACAGGGAAAAGGACTAAAAACATTCTTCGCAAGATGAGAGCAAGCATTAGATGAAGCCGACTTTGTCCATCTCGCATATCAACTTCCTCTATCGATAGCGTAAAGCCGCCCAACACAGAGAACGAACATGGTCGGTAGGTAATTAATCTTCGTTTGGATAGCAGTACGGTACACGCATCAAGATATGATCTTAAGCCTCGGGAACATGGAGAGTCAGCTGGTCTGACCTCCGTGAACGCGGATGGCTTCACGCGAATGTGGCTCTCAAGGTCCACAGCCTCCCGTGATCGTGGCCATAGGTCTCACGATCATGAAGGCTAAGAGCACAAGACTACGTGAACATGGAAACCAGGGCCCATAAATGCGAAGGCCAAAAAGTCTATGCACTAGCTACTGTACATCAACAGGTTTTCTCAACTTGGAATTTTCCGACAAGGTGCCCGAGATTCGTTCGATATCTCGTGTATGCAAACTAAATAAGCTACCCCATCATATTCGGCATTCTGAACTCAAAGGAACCGTCAAAATTTCCATCTAAGGTCATCTCAATGGAAAGTTGGTCCCACACCTAAGTTCTATTTTAAGCTAAAATCCACACGAAGGCTCATAATGAGACTGAAAGCCTCAAAAAACACACAAAAGGTCATTCTGGACCAAACTTCACGATTCAGAGGTAACCATTGTGATGAAATTCTCATTCGAGCATATTTACTATGAATGTTGACCGAAGTCAAACCTTAGCTTATACTTCAAAGTTAAAACGCCTAACGGCACAAACTCACACAAGAAGTCTCGGGGCCCGAACCAACCATATCCCTACCCTAAAATGGCCCATACGAAGTTTATGAAACCATCAAAATTGTATTCTGAGGTTGTCTTCCTAAACCTTTGACCGAAATCATCTGTCCATGTTTCAGAAGCTCTAAAACAGGGAAACTTGCACAAAACCCAAACGAACGACCCGACGACCAATCTATCAATCCTAGCAAGTCATAAATACTTGGGTCACTACAAGAAAGCTCTAAATGCTAAAAAGATCGAAAACCAAAGAAAATGACTTAAAGGATCATTACAAAAAATTCATAATATCTTCCATATACATAATAGAAATGCACCCATCCACGGAAAGAGGTAGCACATATATATCTAACCTTATTTAGGTATTGACAAGCATACCATTATTTATTGGTTTTCATACATAATTAATATGTGTATTCTCCAAACATATAATTTTATTTCATACACTAGGTGAAATAGCAAAATACTCATCACACAAGCACAAACACACGCACACATAATGTATTGAACCATTAAACATCATAAATTTCTTATATTTTGATAAGGTGATCCTCCATATCCTTGATTGCATCAAGGAAAAAACCAAAGTCAGTGAGGGGCTCGGGGGTATCTCCAGTTTTCTTCTCATACACAAATGTCAATGTAGTCCATTGGTGTTCACTGGATGTGATAACAATTAACGAATTATACAACTCTAACACATTCCCTTCAATCACTTTCCAAGTGATTGATTTATTCTGAGAGTCAACAACTTCAATCACTTGCTTGATAAACTTTTCTTTTCCATCTGTAGTCATTAGAATCAGAAAATTCAAGAGATGTTAATCCTAAATAAAATGTTCAATTCCTTGTAAAACATCTAGACTAACATAAAAGAATGTATCTTCATCTAATTATTTATTTTGTTTTTCCTCATTTTTCACATTGGGGAGAATATGGGTATCAGTGGGACATGTATAAATTTGGTTATATTATGTTTGGTATGATTGAAGTAATTTTAATTGAAATGTTTCGTTGCAAAGTGTTTGAAAAATATTTCCAGATGTTTAATTAGCAAGTAAAAGATGTACTACGAAAATCATATATGGAATACTAATAATAATATTAATAAATCATAGTGTTTTAATTTAATGGAAGTTTAGAGTGATAAAAACTATAGTAATATCTAAGTGTCAAGTGAAACAAGTAAAAATAATGCTAAATAACTTCCACCCAAAAGGGAAAGAAGTTCACTTTTTCCTTTATTTATGAAAAATATTTTACTTGGAATTTTTTTTTTTATTATTCATCAAAACACGGTCATACTAAATTACTTTCTCTCGGAAATAATTTTCTTGAAAATTGACTTTCGTAATATAAAATACACCAAACAATAAAAAATTTAATGCAAGAAAAGCATATTGTGTGTGAGAGAGAGAGCAGAAAAATATGTGTTACCTTGGTTATATTTCCAGCTAACAATCGAACCAACTTTTATGGTTTCACCTTCATGAATTTCAAAATGCTTGTACTTAGTAGGGTTTATATTGGGTATATGATGCGTATTGGTGTGAAACATATCATGAATTGAGTGTCCTCCACACCTGACCTCAATTGAAGCAATCAACTTTCCTTTCACACCCATTATTTCTTCTCCTTGGAATAGCAATAACTTGTAACACAAAAATTGTGAGAAAATGTTTAGAACTTGTAGCCTTTATATAGATTCTACGTAGCTGTAAAATTCAAGCTTGTGATAAAATATTGCCACATTTGAATATCCTATTATTATTTGTGGCGCTGGAAGATTAGTGTTAGTTCATTAATTTTATATAAAATGAGGTTTTATTTTAGTTATAAAAAATTTAACTTTCACGGTCAAATATAGGTGTCCCTGCTAATTAGACAATTATGAAGATATTTTTACAATGTTAATTATGTCTTAAATTTTTGTTTGTAGGTTTGGGATACCAATTGTGCTAATAGATTTCACAAAGAAAATATAGTGTCCTTGTATAATCGGGAGTATCTTTCTTATAGGTTTGGGACCACTAGAAATATTTATACATGGGTTGTAATTGGGGATTGATCATAAATAATTATACACTTCTTCACTTTTATAGTGGAAAACTTTTCTCTGCTTCTGCTCGAAGGATTAATTAGTTGAATTGCATTAAATCGTTATTTTTTTTCTTCTCTATTTGTTTTATATGTAATTGTGTGCTAGTACGTCAACTCACAATCTTTTTGCAATAAACGATATCATAGTAAGGCTAGGATTTTCTATATATAATAATCAAGGATTAAGATGTCTTCATTATCTTAAGAATGATGATATCGTCCCTGGTGTAAGATGTTTATTGAAGGCTATGGAGGAGGTTTTCCTAACGAGATGAAAGAATCAGAAAGAAAAAAACAGCCTAAATCATAGAGATTTGAGTGCAATCTTCATGAGAAGTTGGAAGATCTATGTTTTATTAAATTTCCCAACCATCTTATGATACTTTTATTAACACATTGATACAAAGATAATATCTCACTAGATGATAGTATTAATAATGCACTAAAATTTAAAGAGTTAAAGAAGAGCTTTCTATAGAGCATATATAACTAAGGATATAAATATCAAATTTGTGAGCATTGTGTATCTAGTAAGCAAACAAAGTTGAAGTTCAACAAGAAAACAATAACAAAAAAATATCATAGCGTGTCAGTGAACGCACATATCTGGAAATGGAATCTCTAGTAGCTCAGCCTAGTAGTTCATAAGTGAAAAATCTTAATCAAAATGATAATGCTGATGCACCTATGCAACAACAGTTATACAACATTGTAACATTCAGATTGAAGAGAGTGATCAACCGATCAAAAAAGTTCATAAACGTAGTTGATGAGAATCTTCTTTTATGTTGGTTTGTACTAAAGATGAAGGCATTGATTCATTTTACAAGAAACAAACATGGATGTTTGTTCATTGTCTAAGGAACAAAAGGTAGCAAACTATAAAGGTGTTTTTGACGTGAAAAATGTGTTTATATATGATAATTCAGAAGATATGATGACAAAGATAGTCTCAACCAATAAGTTTAGATATTACATCAACTTGATTATTGTATGCAGTACTAAGGAGAACACTTTCCAAAACTGAGGACAAAGCAGAGAAACATTATTATTGTTGATAAAGAGAATTCAAACAAAAGGGAAGATTTGTTAATTTTATCTTGAATTTTTCCTTGTATCTTTAGAAATTTCATAATCCCTATTCATATAGAATAGTCGATGTCCTAACAGATTTGAGAAAGGAAAATATATTATTTTTGTATGATTGGGAGAACCTTTCTCCTATAGATTTGGAACTACTTTAGTGTGATGACACTTGCGATCATTTGCTTTCTTCTGTATTTATTTCTTGTTTTCCCCCTTACCATAATATCTTTGTAGTGTTTGTAATGTGTTAGAGATGGGTGGACACTTCTCGATGTGGTCAGGAGAATCTTGAGTGAGTTTATCCACTTTTGGGGCTTTTATGTTGAAAAAGTTGACATTGGTCATCATATAGAGAATCTAATGTCGAAAGAGATTTTTGTCAATTCTATCAATTCTTCAAGGTCAATTTTGGGTAGGTAGCATGGTTGGTTTGGATTTTGAGGTATTCAGTGTGAGTTTAATCTGTTAGGCGAGTTGTTTGGGAAAGTTTGGCAAAGGATTGACTTCGATTCACATTCTTGGTAAATAGGATCGAATGAGATTTCTGAAAGTGATGTTAGCTCTGAAACATCAAGTTTGGTCTAGACCAATCTTTTGCTTGGATCCCAAGGTGACTGGAATAATTTTGTGGTGTTTTGCATTATGCTTGTTTTGGTTGTTTTTGTTTAGGAGTTGACTTGGGTAAACATTCTGATGAGACGAGCTCTATTTATCATTTTGTCAGTTTTGTTGAGTTATAAATGTCATTTTCAATGCGGTAGCTAATGATTTGGTATTTTATCAACTTATTTGACCACTTTTGCGGTCATTGTTGGTGTTATATCTCTCTCATCTTCTTCATTTTTTATAAGTTGAAGAAGTGGGTTAGAAAGGTCGGTCTTGAGAAAATTTCTCATTTCTTGGTCATTTAAGTTGATTCAAAGGTAATTTCCTTCTCCATTGCTTTCCACTACATATTCTAGCTTCATATTGTGATTCGATTTCATTTTTAAGCTCAAATCCCTTGATTTCTTCTCTTTGAAAATTAGTTTATGGACAATTTGAAGTTCAAATAAATTCCGTGTTCATCCTACCTTGAGTCATGAACATAAAAATGAAGTTAGTTTTTCAATTTGTTGTCGAACTTCCAGGGTCTAATTTTTACCCGATATCTGGTCGGAATTTCATAACATTGACATGGGTATAGTTAGTCCCTTATTGATGTGTATATTATATTTTTGATAGTAGTGTTTTGAGGATCTTCAAAAAGGAAAAGTTTCTGGTTCGAGTGTGATTTTGGCTTCGAGGTAGGTTACAGTCCACTCTTTTAGACTTAGCTTAGATAGTACCATTTATTTTAGTTGCATTGATCCTTAGGTTTTATGATGAGATTTAGGTCTGTATGATCTTTGCTTGTATTTTTGGCCATTTTTGCAATATTAGCCTTAGTCCTTATTGACAAAATAGGATTCTTAGAATGCTTCTAGGTAGCTTAAAACTTATATTTATATGAGTTGATTGGTTTGGTATGACCGTGTTCCTTTTTTGTTATTTTCGAGCTTTTACCATGAAATTAATGTGATTGTGGGCCTAATGACTTGGACTAGTTTGAGTTCGAGTTAGTACTACTATACTGTGACGAGTGCTTACTCTATTAATTTTCTGATTTGATTTTACCGTAAATGATTTATTTATGATTGGCATGTATTTGTGCTCATTGGATCTACATTTGATCGCTTATAAAGTCAATAATAAGAGAGTATGGGTTATTTTGGTTTATAAACTCATTTATGGTGGATTTCATGTTACTTGGGGTTCGAGGGAGCCATTAATTGGTTCGTCATTTAAGAATTTTTGGGTTTTTATGAGAAGTTGTATCGGTTTCTTGGAATTGTTTTAATAGGGATATTTACTTTAAAATTCACTGATATTACTTTAGAAATATGGTTCCCGAGAAATATATACAATTTTATGAGATTTTTGAACTTGAAAGGAAAGTTGCTTTAAATATATGAATTGCTACGGTTTGTTGAGAAAGGGTCTACTTCTCTAGTATTGTGAACCCGATGGATTATTTCGGATTGCACTTCATGCATACTAAATATGTTGATGAACTCTGATGGTCCGTAAATTGAATTCTGGGGTTAACTTTTACAACATATATTGATGAGCTTCGGTAGGTTTCGTAGTCGTCTCGAGGAGCCCACGTGGTGACCGGTGAGACAATTCTGGGACTTTTTCCTTATGCCCTATCCACATATGCATTGCAATGACTTGCATTATATGTATGTCTGTGATTGATTTGAATTATTCGTCGAATGTTCATTATTATTATTAACTTTACTATCAGTAGTTGTGTGTATGGTTCTAGTCAGCTGAATAATTGTAGTGTTAGCACTATTGTGCCTCTATTATTTCTATAGTTTCCATCAAAACTAGTTCGGCCTATGATGCCTATTGAGTACCTCATATTGTTTGTTCTCATACTACACTTCTGCATCTTTTTCTAATGCAGCTCCTAGTATGAGCGGCCCCCGTTGATTCCAAATCTTCAAGGTTGTCGTTGTTGGATCATGGTGAGCTCTTGGTGTATGGAGATTTATTGCTTTCCCTTTTTTGCTCTATCAATGTATTTTGTACTGCTTTCCCTTTTTTGCTTTGTCAATGTATTATGTATTTTGATTAGAGAGAACTGTTGTATATAGTCCATTTTGTACTTAGATACTCTGGTACCAGTGATATTAGGTTTGTGCTTGGTTCTTATATATAGTTTTTTCTTTCTCAGATACTCTTAGAACCTTTTTATATATTATTTTTATCGTTATATACATATCAATGCTATGGGCATTCTTCTTCTTCTTATTGTTTCCGCATAGCTTTTATCTTTTGGTGTACTTATCGCTTGTAGTTGGAATTTGGCTTGCATATTAGGGGGGGTTTATGGGAGGCACCATTATGGTCCTACTTTGGATCATGAAAATGAGATCTTTATATATGGATTGTAGTTGGGGATTCTTAAAGAATTCAACACGTCTTCTCTTTTATAGTGGTATACTATCTTTGCTTCTTCTCGGAGGATTAGCCTTAACCAAACCTTGTTGTCTCGTTGTGTTACTTTTTGTTCTCTATTTGTTTTGTGTGTGATTAGTGCTAGCTAACACATGTCTCATGAAGCATGTTTCTCTTGGGAATCGAACCCGTGACCTTAGCTTTGATGCTACTTGTGTGAATCAAGCGTTTACCGTCAGTGCTGAAAGTCATAGCTTACATGAATGGCACAACTTTTGTAACACCTCAGAACTTATCAGACCAGAACAATAGAAGAAATGGGTGAACCACGACAGGGTTCATGGACCATGAACGGAACCACGTTCCGTCAACATGTCTGTGGTTCACACCTAGCACAGTAGTGGTGGACCACAGAGACCTTCTGCCGTGGATCCCCACACGGACGGTACTGGTGCTCGTGGTGGTGTGACAGAACCCCTCAGGCCCTGAC